GTTACCAAGTAACTGTTACTACGGACCCGGGACCAACAGCATCTGCCCGGGTCCACGTACTGGAAGACTAGTAGGACGGAGATCGTAGACGAAGGGTTTCTTTCCCGGGATGAACAACCCTGATCCCTCTCGGGACTCGGCTTCTATTCTTTGCGGCATGGCCGGCTCCGCCCTTGGCCACGCCCCCCTTCCAGAACCATCGGGAAGAACCTGGGTCCCAATCACGTGACTCCCCTAGCCCCCTCTTGGGGGCCCCCCTGTCATCTTAACCGGTCACGTGTCCTCCCGGGTCAACCAGAGTGCCATGGCCTCACACGACCTTCCCCTTAGGTCGACACCCACCACCGTGTCCTGTAGGGCCGGCACTTCACTTACAGCATGGTGCCATCCAGCCATGTCACTACAAATACAAAGCCACAATTATGCCCTCCCTTCTCTGTGCTTGCGAAACTGTGGCGAGATGTTATCTTCCTTGCCTGGTATGCAGGAGATCGGGGATTCGATCCCAACCCGAACGAATGTTTGTATATTTGGAGTTTGCATGTCTCTGTCCCCGTGGTCGCGTGGAATTTTATTTTTATCCGGGTCCTCCGGTTTTCCCCTCCACATTTAGAAACATGTTTTTAGATTGTTTAGATTATTTTTGCCTGCTATACATGTCCACATGACAAGCCACTTCGTTGAGCTATACTATGTGGCCAGGTGATGTCTGAAGAAGAAGCTAATAGCTCAATGGGCTGTACAGTACCTGGTCAAATATAAAATAGTTTCTTTTTTTGTGTGATTAGTTTACCTTTCCTATACTTTGCACTCCTATTGTGTTTTTGTATTGTTTGTTGTTGTAACGTTCTGACCTGCCCAAACTGGACATCTGTAAAAGGAGCTTCATAGCTCATCCGATTGCTCCAGTATATAAATAAATAATCTGAATTTGAACATCTGCGCAGGTTTGAAACATTCAGGTTAGCCTGCCTACGAACCATCCTGGGTTTAACCAGAATGGATTTTGTGATGAGTTCACAGATCCTTGAATGATCTGGACACTGTCCCATCAGTGAGCTCCTCCAGCAGTCGAGGCTGCGTTGGCTGGGCCATGCAGCCCCTATGCCCAGCCAACGCATGCCCAAGCAGCTTCTGTTCAGCCGGATAGATGGGGCTAAACGGGCACAGCACAGGCTAGAAAAAATATCGACTGATGTGGTACGGAAGGATGTAGAGCTGATTGGACTTGCCGATGCCTGGTACCAGCAGTGTCAAGATAGGTCTCTGTGGAGGAGGTTCATGAAGGACGCTACTGGGGAGTTGGAAGGCAGTCACCCTCCGAAAACAACAGAGGGCAGATGAGCGATGCTCACACACAATGAGTGGAGCGCCAGGCAGCTAAAACGCAGAGCGTTGGCACCGTAGGGATCACGGTTGGTGCTTCTGCCAGTCATCTCAGTCAGTAAACCCATGGCATCTGGGTCTGTTCCGTGTCCTCCTGCCAGCGAGACTTCGACTCTTAAAGTGACCTAAAAATCCACCGAGCATGGCACGAGCACTGTAGTGGCGTCACCGACGCTTCGTGGTGAACGGCAGTTGCCGTTGGTGGCAGACGCACCGAGCTGCACGATTCCCCCCGTGTGGTCAACTTAAACACGTGCACTCGGAGAGAACAGAAGCTCGAGACAAAATTCAGACTCTTCAGGAAAGTGTACTTGTGCAGGACAAAATGCTAAAAGGGATGGTGGCCGATGTTGAAGAATAAACAGCGGTGTGACATTCATAATATAGGTTTTTGGGTCAGATCGCGTTACTTATAAATGTGTCGTAACCCTCCACCACCCGACACGGCCAAACAGTAAAAAATGTGTCACGTTTTCAAAGGACAAATTAATTGACTTATTTAGCCCACCGGTGTGCTGAAGAAAGAATCAACAGCATTTTAAAATTTGAGTACGACGTTTCGCTGATAATTACAATCAGCTTCATCGGGCAAGAATGGTGAAGCTCTCCTGTTGCTTCCGGTCTTAAATAGAGCAGCATCAGGGTGACGTCATCATTTAATTCAATTCAATCTGGTGCAGTGACTCGAGGCAAGGAGTGTATTGTAATTATATAGATTGGTAATCATTCAATTGTTATTCCAATAATTGGTAATCATTCAATTGTTATTCCAATGAATAACAATTGAATTCATCAACAAAGAAATCCCTCGATATTTCAAGAGCCACAATGCACGTGAATACGAGACGGTGTTTCCTTCATAAATAATGGTCACGAAGCCAGTCCTTAAAGAGCCGCAGTACAAAGGGGTTGCCTGCATTTTCCGCGGCAGAGCCACTCTGAAAACCCGCGTGGTCTCGTCGCGCCTGGCGTGTGAGCGATTAAGCTAGTGCGGGGTCTGTAGCATATGTTATAAAGGGGCCCTATGTTAAATAAAAACACGTAAATATTAAGACACATACATGTTTTACTTGCATAGTAAAGTAATTGTATTTTTTCATTTGCTATACAGCCAGATAATACGACAAATCGCTAACCTTAAACATCCAGTCGTTTATAAAAGTTTAAGGTGGTATAATACTATAGTAATGGAGTAAGTGCAGAATCACTGACACGGAATTCATAGCTTGAAAGCATTTAGCGCGGATCCCTTGAAAGTGCGGGGCCTGTAGCATTATGTAGCTACTTTTGCTACTGGGATAATCCGGCACTGGTCGTTGAAGATGAAGCGCACGTTTAAAAGGCATCGCAGAAAGCCGCGCGTATGGATGGTTGTTCTTGCTGGAATTTAACTCTCGTGGTTGTCGCTCTCAGAAGTTCCCTCGAGTGAAAACGAGGACTGCCTCGAGAGCGCTCGATGCTGACTGTGGGCTTCCAATTGCTGCACAAGTAGGAGAAATCATTCCCCACTCATTCAGATATACAATACACTTCTCCATACTCACTGCACCCCATAAAACAAATGCATTCGATAAAAAAATATTTAATGGCGCATATGCATATCCATCCTGGCCTCGAGTGCAATATATTTTAAATGAGATAATTGTTAGTGTACACTGATTATATGGATCGAAAACATCGACAACGACAACAACAACAATGTGAAAAGTGCGCAAAGATGCCTGAAAAGACATTGCACTGAGATAAATAAAAACACATCGATTAGAGAACTTGAACAAATTTTAGACATCACATTGGCTCCATTGGTACCTCATTTGCCAGTAAAAAATATGATAATTGGTTTTTTACCCTTTAATCTGGCAACAAAACTGACACTTTTTGTTTACGAGGAGTCATGTTTGCATAGACCACAATACCTGCAGTCATAATGCAAACAAAAAACATAACTCTGATAAAAAAAAGGTGTCAGTTTTGTTGCCAGATTAAAGGGTAAAAAAACAATTATCATATTTTTAACTGGCAAATGAGGTACCAATGGTGTAAATTCTTACCTCGAGCTCTTATGCTCTGATGGTGCATTGTCTTTGAGTTGTGCGCCTTTTGGCGTCATCTGGTCCAACCCATGTGAGACGAGGCTCTAAGGAAAGCTGTCTCGGGTGTGTACCAATCAACTTCAAGGACAGTGAATACATTATCAGAGTTATGTTTTTGTTTGCATTATGACTGCAGGTATTGTGGTCTATGTAAACATGACTCCTCGTTAAAAAAGGTGTCAGTTTTGTTTCCAGATTAAAGGGTAACAAACCAATTATCATCACATTGGCTGTTAAGGAAAGCAAGTTGCTTGGGCACGATATATTACGAGAAGACGGAGTGGTGAAATCAGCTCCTGTGCAAGTGCTAGGTGGATTGTTACAATGCAGGACCACGTGAGATGGCAAAGGTTTGGGGATGTATTCACATAGCAGTGGATTGATAAGCAGTAGGCTGCTGATGCTGTTTCATTTGTAAGCCTTTAGTAGGAGGTCATGAGCGAGGTTCACCTTTATAAAGGTCAGTTATGGTCATGGGTTGAAGTGAAGAGTGCGTCGGCAATCTTCAGAACTATCAGAACACCAGGGGTCATGCTTTGAGGTCAGTGTTGTGGCAGGATGTTCAATACAGTGTTTTAAAGTTCAATCTATCAGTGGGGTTTATTATTCCACACACAACTTCAAAGTTAAAATTGCATTGGCGATGTCATCCAGATAATTCAAATAATTTTGCAATTTAAAAAAGTATTCATACCTTCACTGCTGAAAATATATGCAGTACTGTGTATGGCAAGAAATGATCTTGTTCCTAAAATAGTTGAGTGTTGAATGAAAAAACGCAATTCTATACGTTGACGTGTACAATGGTTGAGTATTTGATCCATATCCCTCTGCTCTGACGAACACGGTGAAGTATGAAGTGGAGTATTGTCAAGTCGAACAACTCTCAACACCTACACGGCAAGGGAATGCTTTCATTCAGAAGTGGATTGACAAAGGGCTGGGGTTTTTTATTTTAATTATATGTGTCTCGTGACATCACCCCTACTAGCATCTTCACGCCCTTTATAACAAAAAGGGTCACTATGTTCATATAAGCATGACAAAGTGCCCATCACAATTGCCGGCCTCGCGCCAGTACTTGAAATTACTCATGTGGTAAGGAAGCCATTCTCTAGAGGTACTGTTGACGTACCACAAAGTGGTACTCGCTTTAATCTACCCTGAAGGAATGATGGGCTAAGTTAACATCCGAGCTGTGTTTGAACTGGTACTTTTATGATGGTGAGCCAGGGCACCCAGCACCACATCGTCATACTAAAACATAATACAACTGCGATTAGACGTGAGTCCCAAGGCCAGGCGTAGTATACAGTATATAATAAGTTGAGCATTGATTAATGGGTAAGCTTCCTCCAGTCCCTCAGCATTATTGAGCCAACGGGGAGCCGGCCCAGCAGGGGTTGTGAAGTCCCTAAGCCGTTGCAAGTGAATAGGCGTATGCCCCATTGATGAGGTCACAGCATGAGGACTACGAGATGGCGTGAGTGAAAATGGGTGGAGTGAACACACATTCCTCTGTTGCAGTGTTTCTAAAACGTGTTTGGCCCGTGGACCACTCGGCCGAAGCAAACTTTTACGTGGACCACCCAGCCTCACACTCCTGGTGACAAAACGCATGCACTTCTCTCTAAACACCACTCATACCAAATGATTCATATTACCGGAACATAAACATTTTTTACACGCACCCATAACGTGTTTTTTTTTTTAATGGGGAGTAATTAGATCATAGGGCTAGGGTAGTTTAATCAGGGTAGTTTATCTAACTTCATTTAAAAATTAAAGTAACATATTAATTAATGTCCTAAACAAATTTTATACGAAAAATTACATTTTCCGGATCAACCTGCATTTGTATCACAGCCTGTGGCTCACCTGGATCACCGTCTGGGGACCACACTCTGAGACCCACTGCTCGAAAATGAATCGGAAAACAATGGAAGGCGGGACTCTTCTGAAAAAGAGCCATGAGATGCAGACCTTCTTGAATAAATACGTGAAATGTATTTATTTCCTTACTTAAATAATGAGTGAGGTGTGAAATCCCATGCACGTTAATACTTGATCTACGTTCTTTACTCTTTGGTTCTTTCAGTAAAGTCACGTAGGTATAAAATAAAATAAATTTATCTACTTTACTGAAGGTCTCACTTTCAGTAAGAAGATTACATTTCTCACCCGTATAAAGAATAATAATTGGGTCATTTATATAAGCTCTTTCCTGGTTAGGGAAAGGGTAATAATGTAAAATTAATATATGTTATCTCGCCTTGTTAAAGGAGTGAAGCCATCTCTCGAGGATTCTCGTGGTTATATAAAGAGCACTTCAAAGAGAAGTGTAATATAGCTCCGATCTTACATTGTTAAACAATGAATGAATATATAGTGTAATGAATATCACGGGTTCTCGATTGATTACAATAATGAATGTATTATTATTTGGTTTCATAAAGAGATGTTGAATCTCAACGAGTTCCCAACTGATTAGATTAAGGACATAAATCTCGAAGTGTTGTAACTTTCACTCATTTTCTGCCTCGAAGTTTAAACTACATTTTAATCTCATGAAATAAAATAAAACCGATAATAACTTAATGATTACATCATAATAGTTTGGCTGTTGTTACTTAATCTCTGAGAACCGAAACGTGTAAAAGTCAAAAGATGTTATTTCTGGTGTCTTTTATTCAAGGCCGTCACCATGGAGTCAACATGGGGGGGACAAAATCTTCTAGGATGTCTGGGGGTCCCAACCCATAAAAATATCTAAATTTGAAAACTCATTTCCTGCCTAAAATATTAAAAAATTGACTAACACATGGGATGGACTTTTTATTTATGTTTTACAATCATGTCTAATAGTGTATTGTATTAGATTGCTCTGTTTTAACTATTTTTTTTACCATTTCTTGTTTCATTGAATGTAATGGCAGAGATTAGGGATTAATAAAGTACAACCATAACCACAATCATATTAACAGGAATGTATGCATTGATTATTTGAAGACAAGTCCAGATATTGTGGCCAAGGTTTAGCAAATTGTTTTATTTACATAGCATAGCAATACATTTTTTAATAGCAATATATTGGGGGGGGGGGGGGGACATTTTGAGCATATTTGAATATTGGGGGGGATGTGTTCCCCCCAATTTGTATTATAATTACGGCCTTGCCTTTATTTAACCCTGGTGAGAACCCTTTGAGACTGTCCCTTGTGAATGGCGCTCTGTATTAAAGAGGTGAGAGCCTATTGAGATTGATTCGATCTTATGATTTACAAGAACAGTTTATTTCCCTTTTACATTCATAATACATGCATTGAGTAATTGACGTCCTTTCAATCACTAATTCAGATAAAAAAACCATTGAGATTCAATGTATCTTCATTGCATTGTATCTTCATTGTGAAGTCAAGTAACTTAAGTTCTTTATTTTACCAAGTGGGAGAGAAATCATAGCTTTAAAAGTCGTTGCTCTCGTACCTGATGTCAATTCATTGTGCAGTTGTTTTACCTCTGGGCATTGTAGGTAAGCCAAAGGATTGCGATTGTGGCCATGCAACCGAAACTATTGACCATATAATAAACCATTGTAGTCTGCCCTCCTTCAATGGAGGAACAGCGAAATTACAAACTCCCTCTGTCCTAAAGTCCTCTCGCCGTGGCCAGAAAGACATTAACATTCGCATATCGCTCCTGAACATATTGCTGGGAGCGCACGCCAGATGAGAATTGTGTTATTATCTACTTAACTAAGATGAGATCCTGATGAGATTCATCCTCTAACAGTTATTTAACCAAGTGAGAGAGAAATAATCCTCTGAGATGCATTGCCTCTTGTGACTGATGATGTAAATCAGTGTTCTTTACTAATTTTCAGAGAGGGGGGGGTGTGCAACTTTTGCCAATAAGACATCATCAGTGTGAGGGCCGCCACACATTTGAAACCATTGTGGGTTTGACAGCAGCACGATGATTATTGGGTGGGGGGGGGGGGGGTGTTTTCACTTTTGTATATTGTTGGGGACCGCACCAAAGGCCATCAGGGGCCGCCAGGGACCTTTATTTCTTATGGCTTTCTTTCTTATGTAGATGCAGAGCAACAACTAAACTACAATTTCACATTCAGGCTGTGGTCAAGCCAGATAACCGTGTCAGGAGCCAGCGGAGTGTTGCATCGTCGCTGTTTTGTCTCATTCCTATTCGTGGTCTGCGTATCGCGTCCGTCATGCGGTCTGTTCCGGATGACCACAGTCACACGCACGCTCGCCTTGCAATGAAGCCCCGGCTGACGGTATAGATTCACCGTGCTCTGCGGGCGTTTTACGCCTGGCCAATTTTAAATTTGCCCGCAAACTAACCAGTCTGTTTACCACGTAGGCTTTCCCGACCGATATCATCCATAATGCAGACTTTTTTGGGTTAGATTGCGTAAATATAAATTCGTCGTTAAACCCGCCACAGCCAATTAATAACTTTGTCACGTAAACAGAACGTGCCAATTCGTGACTAGTACAGCACACCGGTGTGTTGGAGAGCAAATCCACAACATATTTAAGGAACGAAACAGGAGGATTTCTCCACAAATCTGGCTGCCGCATGATGATGCCGGTTCTTAATTACTGGCGAAACGTCGTGCTCAGATTGGACTTTCTCTCCCAACACACCGGTGTTGCTGCACTAGTAACGAATTGGCACGTACTGTTTACCAGACACACCTTACTAATTGGCCGTGCCGGGTGGCGGCGGGTTTCATGACACATTTTTCTATAACCCAAAAAATAATTGATAAAAAAAACCTCGATTATTGTGAATAACCAGAGTTTGAACCCCAGTTTTGTTGGGGGTGGGGTCACCGTAGTTTCGCGCATGCGCACTGAGGCGCGCATAACGGACCCCAGCCCCGCCCCCCGCACAGCGTGCTTGCCGTACATTTCCTAGAGCGGATAAGCGAAGCCCGACCAATGGGCGCGCGTGCACGGAGAGTGGGGGGTGGTCGTTGCCTGCCCAACCCCCGCCCCCACCACCACCACCAACCGTGCGCGTTAGCTGTACGAAATCTAAAGCGAGGTTTGTCGAGGCCGTGGTGCAGGAACCGTTATCATGGGGAAGAGGAAGGCCGACCTGGGCCGGGCGCTCCGGGCACGGCTCAAGGCGCGCATGGAGAGGTCCTCGGGCTACGACTCGACGTGGGACACGAGCGACGAGGACGAGGCCGCGCAGCAGACGGACTCGAGGCCAAAGAAGGCGGAGGTTACAAAAAAATTAGCGTTGTACGCGCACCACCACCGCCACCACTCGCCGGACCATGCTTTGGTTGCTGCGCTTGGCCTAGCGCAGGCTTTTCCGCGGACGTTCTCAGGAAAGGCGGCAAGGGTCGGGGACACCATGTGGGATGTTGAGAGGGATTTAATTGGTGTATTCTTTTGGGTCTTTCGGTAAAGCCACGTAGATAGAATAAATACGTGTTAACATTTTTTTTATTGCCGATGCATTTAAAAAAAAATTGTGAGTTTTTATAATTTGGTATTTGTCATAGGAAGTGCATGGGTTGCTTTGGTTTACAATTGTTATGGTCGAGTTGGGAATGTGTGCCTGACCTCGTCATGATAATGTGGAATTTCTATCTCTTTACTCAGCGCCTTTAATACAGATAAGCGAACGGGCAGACAGGTGTGACTTTGGAAAGTTATTTTTGGTGCAACTCCGGTTATTTTGTAATGCTGAATAAACGCTTTTCATCGTAAACACCCACTAACCGGTAATTTGTTAGTATCATTTTAAACAATCTATTTAAAATACTATACGCTTGTGGAACATAAATGAAACAGTTTCTTACATTATTGTGGTTATAATCATGCTACATGGATAGTAGCAGATTCTAGAATTTTACTAATTATTAAAACGCTGTAAACTCGTAAGACTTTAGTACGTAAGTTATGGCACAGAATAAGGAAAACAAGCTTTTTTGTAGTGACCAATACATACAGTTTTAATATTATATATACGGGTAATCCGTGTAATGAAAAAGACAAAGTTCCTGATTATATTGGCACACCAGTAAAAAAATTAATAATACAAATGAAAAAAAAGTGTCATTGTAAAATAATATTAAGATAATTGGCGGTATGTAAGAGCAGAAGTAAGTATAGAATACAATAACTGTAACAAAAAGTATAATCGTCATTGCCCTGCTTCAGGTAATTTATATATTTTTGTATGTACTAAAGTATTGTCAACTTTTTAAACTTAAACATTCTGTCTTAAGATGTTTGTCATACATCTAAATGGATTAAAATACACGTCCAATTTTATTGTTACATTAATTTTAAAGCACAGATAAAACCGACAAGGAATTGTAAATTGGTTGTGTTTAAAATTGTCATGTTTACTTTATTTCAGTCGATATTTCTACGTGTTGGAATTTTCACTTACCTTTCAGTTAATGTCATATTTACAGACAAGCTTTATTTGAGAATTTTTCAAGATTCAAAAGTTCAAATGAAGTTCTTGAATTCAATAAGCAGATATGTAAATGACGAGAAAATCTATCATAACATAAAAATAGTGTAGGCCAGAAAAGTAAAAAAAAACACGTGCAAAATGTGTACCAAAAGCGCTGAGCCTTTGTGCTTTCTGCAAAAATAATAAAAACTATTTCGTGAAGAACTGCATTTTGGTCATCTTGTTTTAGTTCACTTTCAAAAATGCCAGTCAGTTTGCTCAAATTTATTTCGATGGTCACCTAAGACAAGAGGACCACTGCATTCATTCAGAAGCTGCTGATGTTTTTGTTGTATAATGGACAAAGGCCGAGTGACTTTTGTACGTTTCTAAGTATATTTTGAAATTCAATCAATTAGCGGACAGTTGAATAACTACTACAGTAAATTACTGCTAAAATACTTTTATCAGTTGTCAAAGTGTCCCAATTTTATTGAGCAGTGGTTTTCACCTTTCGTGGCCCAGAGCCAGTTATGGAAATAACACATTCCTGTATGTGGACTATTCTCTTCATAGAACAACCACTGCCGACTTCCACAAAGTGGTAGATATTTTATAGACTTTTGTGATGATGGTATTCGCTCACTGTGTTCCATTATCGTAAACAGCTTTTCCAATTATGTTTTAAATGATTAACATATTTGTTGTCATAAATGTAAACTTGAATTGTAAAAAACCCATCAACAATCATGAAAATTCCATTTAATGTTGAGAGAAGTTCGATTTGGTATGTGTGATAGGTGAATTCAGGATGTTAATTTGATCCATATACGTGGCAATAAAGAAATCGGGGAAGGTTTGTACATCATAAACTACAATAGCACTTGAGTCCATCCATCAGTGGACCTTCTGGATCATTATTTTAAAGCCCTGGTTAAACATGGCAATCCCTGAATTGATTTCAGCTTCTTGCTGCTTCATGAGCAGAGTGTGACCTAAAAGGGTTATTTTGTACAATGTTGAAGTTCTCCGCTGAATATGACAATGGGGAGCCACAATGGCGTTTGTGTAAATCACTGGGCAATCCAGAAGCAGCATTTAACTGGCCACACCCTGTTGATGAGACTTAGTGAAGTTAAGACCAGTTCAGCACGTAGTTTATTTACTGGCCATAGCGTTGTGGATAAACTCAGGATATTAACGTAATCTTGAACCCTAATCTCGGCCTGAAATTTACACCTTTCCACAGAGAACCTTGTGTGGGAGAAGCGTGTTTGCAGCAAAGGATCTGCAGCGGTATCGACGTAACTATCCGGTAAGGGCATCATATATCACTGTGCCACTTGACGGTGCAGAACTAATGGTATAGCACTGGAACAGGAGGGTCTACTTTAATAGTATCTCAGTTCCTCGTCATGTTGCTGAATTCTCAATTGTTTTTCGTTTACAACTGCAGCAGGGAACTGGCTTTTGCGGTAGTCAGCATGCCTGCAACAAAGCCATTTTATAAGGTGTCAGAAGTTTAGTTATCTTTGCACTTTGAGCTGTGTGTGTGTGAGTGAGTGTGGACTGTGTGTGTGAGTGAGTGTGGGTTGTGTGTGCGAGTGAGTGTGAATGAGTGTGAGTGAGCTGTGTGTGCGAGGCGGTTGAGAGCTGCGAAGCCTGCCGTGTGAGAACGAGGGAGGGGGTGCTAGTCGCGGCCTACTCCTCAGGCCTCGGCGCCTCCAGGCCGCACGGCCGCTGCTGCTCTGCTGTTGTTCACACAGCTGCGGCTGCTTCGTGTATGACTCCTGCAACTGCAGTTGGGTCGGCTGCTGCTGCTACAGCTGCTGCTGCTACTCTGGTGGCTGGGTTCATTGGGTGTGCGAAAACCCCGCTTGCCGCAACCTCGCGTTACTGTTGTAGCAGCAGCTACAACAACAGCAGCAGCTACAATGACAGAAGCAGCTACAACGACAACAGCAGTTACAACGACAGCAGCAGCTACAACGACAACAGCTATAACAACAACAGCAGCTACAACAACAACAGCAGCTACAACGACAGCAGCAGCTAAAACAGCAGCAGCAGCTGCTACAACAACAGCAGCAGCAGCAGTTACAACAGCAGCAGCTACAACAACAACAGCTACAACAGCAGCTGCTACAACAACCGCAGCTACACCAACAGCAGCAGCAGCTACAATAAAAACAGCAGCATTGGCTACAACAACAACAGCAGCAGCTGCAACAACAACAGCAGCTGCAACAATAGTAGCAGCAGCTGCAACAGCAGCAGCTGCAACAACAGCAACTGCAACAGCAGCAGCAGCTGCAACAACAGCAGCAGCAGCTGCAACAGCAACAACAGCAGCAGCTGCAGCAGCAGCAGCTGCAACAGCAGCAGCTGCAACAGCAGCAGCTGCAACAGCAGCAGCAACAGCAGCAAGATGGCGGGGGCGTGTGCGTTGTGCTGCATGAGTGTGAGCTGTGTGTGAGAATGGGTGAGAATGAGCTGCGTGTGAGTGAGCTGTGTGTGTGTTTAAATTTAGTGTTTTAAAGATGTCAATTCTCCTGCTGTGTATCCCACTGCTGTCCCTCCCGGCCATATCTAGTGCCACACTCAACTCTACAAACGGCTACCCGCGTTACTTCGCGTCAATACTTATTGCTAAATTTGCCACTACACCTGCTAATGAAACAACTTATAGACACTTCTACACTCCATCATTGTATCCTTGTAAACCCTATCTCTGTCCCATTACTTCACCAGCACTCCTTCCAAACTGCATTCTGCTCTTAAAAATGTCACCATCTGCGAGCTGCTGCTATTTGTCAAAGGTTTGCCGCTCTTCATCCATTCACAGAAAATACCTGTGGAAACTATTAGTTCTACTTTTCTTATTTCAGGGAGGTATTTAGCTTCATCCTGGTCCAAATGTAAAGAACTCGTATAATTCTGAAGAATTTTCTGGCAGGAAAGGTGTCGGTATTCTACATGTCAACATCAGAGGGCTTGGGCTTGTGATTAAATTAAGTCAACTAAAACTAGAAGTGGCAAATCTGGACCCGGACATTTTTTGCTTAACAGAAACATTTCTCACTCCTGCCATCAATGACTTGCAGATTACGATTGGCAACTACAATCTTTTTCGGCTTGACCGAGGATCTAAAGGAGGTGGAATTGCCATCTATGTTCGTAATACTATTGCACGTTCACCAGCTCACTCCTTATTTAAAATATATTGCTTTGAAGGTCTGGCTTTCAGAATAACTTTGCCAAATAATCAACAGATATTCGTAGTGTGTGCTATAGACCGCCTAGTGGGAAGGATGTTGAAGCTGCATCTGCACTGAGAGCTTCTTGGGGGCCTCCCTAAAGGTGAAATGGTTTTAGTGGGTGATCTAAATTGGAATTGGCTAAACCCGCTGGCCGTGGCCGCACATTTTGCAGATGAATTTAACCTGTTTCAATTAATAAATGGCCCCATAAGACCCAACCTGAAAAATCCAGGACAGTCATCTCTGCTTGACGTCCTATTGACAAATGTCCCTCACAATTTCGCACTGACTGGTGTTCTTAGTGATCACTCCTTCATATTTGGGGTGAGATCATCAGCCAGACCCAAAGCCCCCCCTAAATTGATTGAGAAGCACTCCATGAGACACTTCAGCTCTCGGCATTTACTAATGATGTGCTTCACTCAGATATTGACAGGGTCGGTGATATCCCCAACCTGACTACGGCTTGGGAGACCTTCAGGTGCACGTTTCTCCAAATTCTTAACAAACATGCTCCGTTAGTTAGATTTTAAACTAAAGGCAACTGCCCACAATGGTATTATCCTTTGATTACTAAGCTCATGAAAACTAGGGACAAGGCTTGGGCATGTGCTCACAAAAGTAATTTTGTCAATGACTGGCTAGAATACAGGATTTTAAGGAATAGATGCGTCAAAAAAATACGACATGCAAAAGATGCCTACTTTTCCTCCACTCTTCTGGAATCGCATGGAAATGCCAGGATCTTCTGGAAAACAATCAAATGTATCGAAAAGGCATCCAAAACAGATCATCTGCCCGTTGAGCTTTACCGAAATGGGGAATATTTTTCAGAGCCCAAAAAAATAGTTGACAATTTTAACCTCCATTTTTCTGAAGCTGGTAACCTTTTTGATAATGTATTGGGAGTCACCCCTGCTCATGCAAATTCCTACACCCCTGTCCAAACATTAAGCGAATTTAGTTTTCAGCCAATCCATGAAAGTAATATTCTGAAACAACTGTCCTACCTCAAAGGGTCCTCCTCTACCGGAGCAGATAGTATTCCTGTCTTTGCTCTGCTAAATGTTGGTAACCTAATATACAAACCTATAGCCCATATTTTCAAACTGTCCATCAAAGAAGCATCAATTCCTCTAGAATGGAAAAATTACTATGTTAGTCCACTTCACAAAGGGGGCCCTGAAGATGATCCAAATAACTACCGACCTATCTCAATTTTGTCCCCGTTGATGAAAATTTTTGAAAAGTTATTAAACTACCAAATTATCAATTTCCTGTCCGACAACAATCTATTACATCTAAAACAATCTGGTTTCCGAAAATAATACAGCACCACATCTGCTGCATTAGACTCTGAATCACATTTACAGTAGCCTTGATAATAAGCAGTACTGCACCAGTCTTTTTCTTGACTTGTCCAAAGCCTTTGATACAGTCGACCACAACATCCTGCTTAGTAAACTAAGTTGCCTCGGTTTATCCAAACATGCAGTAGAATGGTTAGAAAATTACCTCTTTTCTCGCACCCAAACTGTATTCACAGATTCACAGTTGGTTGGAGGTCAAACAGTGTTAAGATAACATCCTCGGCCCCCTCTTGTTCTCTCTTTATGTAAATGACTTGGGCACTGACCTGGATCATTCCAGGGTAAATCTTTTTGCAGATGACACGATACTGATTACTGCTGGCCGCTCTCCGGATGACGTGATTGCTAAGCTCCAGGGTGATTTCAACAAACTACAACATCAGCTAGTTGCTCTTAAACTAGTCCTGAATACCTCCAAAACCAAGGTGCTATGCTTCTCACCAGGGCTAAAGCAGGAAGTTATTTTTCCCCAATTACATTCCTTAAATAATGATCAAATAGAGCAAGTCAAGATCTATAAGTATATTGGGGTCATCCTGCTTTCCCCCTTTGTTCCGTTTTGGAATTGATAAAAGCTACCATACTGCCTCTACTTGATTTCTGTGACATCGTATATAAATCAGCCCCAAGTACTGTACTGAAGAAGCTTGACTCAATTTATCACTCGGCCTTAAGATTTGCATTGAACTGCCCATATAGAACTCACCACTGTTATCTCTACATTGGGTCAAACTTAATATCTCAATGTTCGACGGCTTGTGCACCAGATCTTATTTATTAATGATATACTTACAAAAAAATTGGCAGACTACCTGCTGTATATCCTCTCTGTTTCGAGGAACAAATGTGACCTAAGGTCTTCGCTCATTTACCAGCTTCACATTCCTTATTGCCGTACAAATACTGGAGGAAGGGCCTTTGCTATTGATGCTCCCAGGGTCTGGAATGCTATTGCCAATAAACTGCAACTTGAATCACTACCTATGAGATCTTCACTCAAAACTGCTCTAGAGGAGTTTTACACCCCTATCTGCCACTGCTATTCAGTGGCTTAAAATAAAATGTTTTCGCTCCCGGTGACCGCTGTAAAGTATGATCTTGTGTTTTGATTTAGTGTGCTGATCTTAAAGGTACATTGAACAATGTTAATACTCCTACTGATGCTCCTGCTGTTGTGGAGTGACTCATGCAGTCAGCTATGGCTACAGGGTTTGGTGGTACATGTTGTTTATTGTGAAAATTCGGTCACAGTTCCTATGATCACTGCTACATTGCTTATGGCTTTTTTGGTTTGGCCATGTTTTGTTTGTTGTAGTATGGAGTTAGACTGATGGCTTTAATCTAAGTTGTCTTGTTGTTTAACTTGCATCCCACTGGGATTTTTGCACACAGCAGTTGGTGTACGGTGCTTTTTCTGGAAGACTTTACAGTTTTTTCCTGGATTTTTCTGTTTGCGCATAGTCACTTTAAGATGTCTTCTTGTTCATGTGTTTTTTGTTTTGTTGCGGTTGCACCCGATTCAAGAGCCGGATGGCTCACAGGGCTATACCAAATAAACTGAAACTGAAACGGGTAATATTTGTAGGGAATTGGCTCATCTATTTTAGGATCCACATACCTGTCAACCCCTTATCGGTGCCTACGTTATTACAGACCAATTCAGACCTGATTTGTTACCTCGTGTC